TGTCGTTTGAGGAAGACAAAGGTTTCTTTTTGTATTTCAATAAAAGTAACCTGGGGCGGGGGGGGGGAATCATGATTTTTTACCTCATCAGGTTTGTCTTTCAATTGAATTAAAATTTTTTAAAAATAATTTATTAATGTCAACATGTTTTAAGTGATTAATATCCTGTTACGTCTAACAGTAATGTATGACTGCTGGGCTAGGATCTGTCACTCAACAAAATTGCTTAGATTTATTATTTTGTACTGACATTTCTTATTCATCTGAAGTGATTTGATTGAAGTTGAATAGCTCACAAGGAAAGGACAGAAGACCAGATTAAGTTATGGTTTTTTGTGTATTTTCTATTTTGTACTACTTTGTGCAGCTCTCTTAGAACTTAGAAGCCTTTGGCATGTGTTTTTTAAGTTGACTTCTGTTTCATTCTGATTTGATTGCACAGTGATTTATCAGATAATACAGAGCTTGAGACTTAAATGTGCGCAAATATTTGCTCTGTGCTTTGAATTTTATTAATTCATGTAAAACATTTCATCTTTTTAGTATCTACTTTCCGTTAAATATCATCTAATGAATGAATTTGGACTGCATAGTACATATTGCTCAACTCAATCAGGGAACCCTTAGGAGGGATCCTATGAGAGACTTTGTTGGAGGATAAAGCTGCTCCTTGGAAGAGTACTGAGATATTTTCAGAGACAGCCTTCCTGCAGCACAACAGCGGTCCATTCCCCTAAGTGGGAAAAGGAGTAGGCATAAAAATAAAACAGTCTCATTTAAACGTGCTATTGAGAGAGCTCAAGTGCAAAAATAAGCATGTGAGGGATGGAAAGGGGACAGAGCAATTCCCCAAAAGAAATATAGAGATACTTTTTGGACATGCAGTTAGGAATGCAAAGGCAAGCCTGGAGCTCAAAGAGGCAGGAGATGTCAACAATAACAAGAAAGGCTTTTGTAAGTTAGAGGCGAGCAGAAGTCCAAGGATGAAGGATGAGGTCATCTACCTTAATTTTAGCAAGGTGTTTGTCACAGTCTACCACAACGTTTTTTGTTGAAAAAGTAAGGTATGGACTAGACAGATGAACCACAAGATAGGACAAAAACTGGCTAAACAGCTGAAATGGTGGTGGTTAATGGCTCAAAGTCAGACTGGTGGTCAAGTCAAGTTCCTGAGCAGTTGGTAGTATCACCAATACTGTTACATATCTTTATAAACAACATAGGTGATGGAGTTGAACATACCCTCAACAAAATTGAATTTGACACCAAACTGGGCAGAGATGTAGGTACACCAGAAGAGGCACCATTCAAGGAGACAATGAGAGGTTGGAACTGCATGAGGTTTAAAAAAGATGCATGTGAAATTCTCTATCTGGAATGGAGTAATCGCAAGCACCAGTACAGGCTGGAGTCTGGCTATGTGATTCACCTTGAATTTAGTGTACTCAATACTTTTTAGGCCACATCTGTACTAATGTGTCCAAATTTGCTTTCTGCAGTTCAAGATAGAGATTAAAAACAGGCAAGAGTCCAGTGGAAGGCCACCGTGATGTTTAAAGGCTGGGGAACGTAAATGTTCTAGGGAAAAGAAGACTCAGGTGGGATCTAATCGCATTCTTCTGATGCCTAGAAGGTGTTACAGGGAAAGTAGAGGTATATTTATATTCCTTACAAGGATGCATGGTGACAGGATGAGGACCAATGGGTGCTAGTTGCTTTGGCAGAAATTCCATTCAGATACAAGAAGAAAACTCATCACTATGAGGACAACTGAACGTTGGAATAGGTCACTCAAGAGAAGTGGTAGAAACTCCCTCACCAGAAAGATTTAAGGTGTGCCTTGACAAGCTCCTGCAATAACCTAAGCTTAAGACCTTGTGTTCAACAGAAGGTTGGATCAAATGATCTCCAAAGGACCCTTCCAACTTAGACTTTTCTATTTGACATGGGTGAATCAGATTCTTGATTTTTCAAAACTGTGTGCATAATTAGGAGAACAGAAAAAATATAATAGGACTGCACCACTAACAGAAACCAACAAATACTTATTTTTGCTGTGAAATCAACCACAGCTTGAGTAATGCTGACCAGGGGAAGGTTTGGAAGATTGTTTCTCAGAGCTTCCACTGAAGTCTCTAAAATAAACAAAAAGGCATCTCTAGGTATTGAGACTTCTGGTTTCATTTAACTGTAAAATAAAGGACAGTTCCCTTACAAACATAAGGTGTTAGGCAAGGGACAACGTAAAATAATGTTACTTAAATAAAAATATCACTTACAGGATTTTCAATTTTATAAATGAAATTGGGCACTATTTAAATACATAGTAAGAATCAGTCTTTATTCCAGGAATTGACATCCTAAGTATGGAATTTGAAATGAAATGTATAAGCGTTCTAGAATAAAATCAGTTTTGATGGTTGCACAGCATTTTTTCATCTGTATCATGTGCATTAATGTTTTCTCAGCCCAAAGTGACCAATTTATACTCATTTAATCCACGTCAGTTCTTGGTAATGAGGCAAGTACAATGGTCACACTAGACCACAATTATTTCATTGTAAGCAATACAAGAATTTGGTCGCTCATCTTCCCCACTGCTGAAAATGTGCAGCCTGCTGGTAGGATTTAAAGTCTCTTTCAGGTTGCTCACTGGGCTGCTTGGTGTGTTTGCTGGGCTACTTAGTATGTCAGGGAGTTTCGCTGTTATTGCAGTCTCCCATTAAGTTAATTTACCAAAACTTAGGATATACTTTTTTTTTATTCCTTAAGGGTTTCTACCTGCTTATGCCTTACAAGAAGCATTTCCTTGCAAATCACACTGCTTTTAAGAATGCTTAAGGTCTGAAGCCTGCCCTTCAGTTTATTTGGCAGACTGGATACATACTTTATTTCTTCTATGGACCAGGATGACCTTCTGCATGTTCATGATTATGGACAAATCTCCTTTGTGACATCCACGAGGAAGATAAAGTGAAATGTCGGTTTTGCCTGGATAAACTTTGCCTGGTTTTGATAGAAACATGCCAAAGTAGTAACATCAGACCACAGTGCAATGAGCCAACTTTAAGGGGACAGAGTTCTCACTGTTGTCTTTTTTCAAATTCACAGTCTATTGTAGTCCAGTTTTTCACAGTATGAAAAAGGGTTTTAATGTTTAGCTCCTACAGCTTCTCCACTTCTTTTCCCTTAAAAAAGAAACTGCTTTCTCTTTATATGAGCAGTTACGTTCTGGTATGAGGGTTGGAATCTTTTCTACCTCAATCTCAGAGTGATTATAGAATTATGTTTTGGAGATACATTCCTATTTTTAGGGTAGAAATTAGTATGATGGATGTAAGGGTGTATAGTAACTTGTAAAAGCTACCGTGATTAGTGTTAATGTTTGTCCAGCAAACTTCTGTGCTAAATCAGATTGGAAATGAGCATGTTAGTCTGTAATATTGAAATCCTTCACTTATTTGTCAGTTCTATTTTTGGGCAAGACGGCTCTTGCTAGAAGTATGTTTAGAACTAGCAAGTTTAAATACACTTGCAAGTAGAGAGGACTCTGAAGGGTTTTTGCAAAGTCCTGTTGTATAATGCAGTATGTATATCTTCACAGTTTTCATCAAAGCGGATGTGATTTTCTAGTAATAACACTTCTTTAAAAGAAAATTTCTTTTAAAAGAAAAGCATTTGATTATGTCCAAAATGCCATTGCTGATTTTCTTTCTAATGCTTTATTTATAAACACTAGTCTGTGGTATCTTCATTTTATCCCATGAATGTTTATCTCGCACTGTTTTCAGTTATTGTAAAGGAGCATATATAAACTATGCTTGGGTAGGAAAAATTGAGTGGAGATTTTTTGTCACAACATTTACAGTTTTAAATGATGGATAGAACTTCTCAACTGTAGAAATATAGCTTGCTTTTATTTACATAATCCTAACTCCTAAAGAAATTTCAATCTCCAGTCTACCCTTTAGAAAAGAAAGGGAAGGGGAAGATGGGAGAATAGGGGAAGGCTGGGAAGCAACTAAACCATAAAGTATTTCTGAAAAGGTTTATCAACCACTGTCACAGAACCGCTTAGTTAAGTTTTCTGGGAAGGATGAGTTCCATGCTTAAGAAATTACGCTAGAGGCTCAGTTGCATGAAACTTTATGGTCAGCCCTTTAAAGGAGAAGTTGAGCATGATGTAGCGAGCGCTATGAACTTCAGGGAGGTCTTGATTAGAGCCAGGGTTACCTGGGAGGAGACAACGCTCAGGACTACCTGTTTGCTCTTACTGAAGTTTGCATGAAAATAATTTGATATGATTCTGATATGATTCAGAATTGGTGAACATTGCATGCATCCACTTTTCAGTATACCAAATGCATAGCCTTGTCCCCTTATTGTATTTACTTCTGTACCAGCAAGTGTGTAGATAAATCATAGGAGAGAATAGTAATATCAGGTATTTGCACAGAATAACACCAACTGAATTTCACCAAGTATATTCTGTATGTACTTTCTTTCCAACAGGTCAGAGGTATACTACTTCCTCTATAGTACTTTGGCTAAGTTTAAGTATTTTGGGAAGCTTAAGTCTTGTAACAGAAATTGTAAGAGCTAATACAAGTTTTTTTCCTGTTACTCCTTGAACATACATTTGCCTGCATACTTGTACAAAGGGAAGAAAGAAATATTAGTAATATGGCTAGCAATGTGCTTTGATATCCCAGTTGCCTGTAAATCTTCTGTTAAACCTAAACCTAGTTATCTATGGAGCAAGAGGTAGGTATTGGTGCTGTGCAAATGTGTATATAGTGATCCCTGGTATGAGGTATGCTTTCCAGCACACTGAAATGCTCCACTACCACTACATTCTTTCCCAAATACTTTTTTTTTTCCTTCTCCTTCCATTCCAGCTGCAAAATTACTGTGGCTTAATTACCCTTTGCTTTTTGAGATTATAAGAAGGGGCAGGCACCATGTCTGTCACTGCTTACAGAAGGTGGAACTTGGGAAGCACTGGCCTTTACAAGTGCCTGCTTGGGGTGGTGTGGGATTTGGCACCAAATTTGTCTGTACACATTTGAGGCTAAAAAGCTTTGTATCCACCCTTGCTTCTTCCAGGAGGAGGAGGGTGTACAGTGTTAAAAGTGGACTCCTGCGTATGTTGTAGAAGTTATGACAGAGTTCACTGGTGCTTCTGCACAATCATGGTTAGTTACTTTAGTGATGCTAACAGGAATTTTAATTGAAGTGTAACTGATAAAGCACTGGTTATCATTGGCAGTTGGTATGACACATGAACACCCAGATGTATATTCCAAAACTTTGTCAGATGCATCTTAATAACAGTATTTTAATTTTTTTCCATCTGTTTAAAGTACTATTTTCACATTACAGCCTTTGTTAGGATTTGAAAGCTCTTAATATTCATATGTTGAATAATTCCTGAGAAAATCTGTTCAACACTTGAACCTTAACTGGAACATGTAGTACTTTCTCAAAATCTTTGCAAATCGTTTGTTTCTTTGGATGCAAAGGGCAGTAGAAAGGATTATAAAAATCTTCTAGTAGCATTTGTGCTCTTATGCTGAGAACATTATTTCCCCCTTACACACATACTCTTTCTGTGCAGGAGGGAACTCTGGTGACATCTGTTTAGCTGAGTGGGTATGCGCAGAACTCTGTGCCAGCCAAGTCAGCTGAGGGAGCCGGTGCGAAGCAGATGAGGGTGCAGACCTTTGAACAGAGAAACAGTGTCTCTGCAGAACGGAGGGGCTGCAGCCTGGAGAGCTGCTACCAAAAAGGGGAAAAATAGAACTACCCAACAGCAAGAAGGAAAATGATTTCACAATAAAAAAAGCCTCATTTGGGGAAATAATATTGTATTTGACATCCAATCCTGCTTAAATTCAGACACTGAATACTATTTTTTTTTTAAACTGTTTGGGAACTGTGAATAAGAAACTATAAAGTGTAAAGTGATTTTTGTTGCATGATGTTTTAATCTAGAAACTGACTTGTTTAAAAACTGTTCAAGCATACAAGTATTTTTAATTAGGAGTGGAGCGCTATGTCCATATCGTCTGCTGTTCTTAAAAGAACATTTCACCTTGTGTTTTTTTTTTTTTTTCTCCTTAAAACCCTGAGTCCTGATTTGCGGTAACACGTTTGAGTTGCTTCCTTTGGCACAAAAGGCATTGGTAGAACAATTGTGTTGAACTTTTTGGACAGTGTTGTTCCTCACAGTGCAGTAAAGTATCTAAGGGATCTGTCACACCTGACATCGAGGTGGGATGAAACAGATGGCTGAGTATGCCCAGGGTAGCTCAGAGGATGGTTTTCACCATCCCAGTCCATTCATTTGTTCATTCAGGTGTTCTATTGAGATCTAACAAGAGCTGCCAAACACTGGCTCATAGGCATCTTGTTCCCATGTCTTTTCTCTTGTGAGTAATTTTCTTTATAGTTTTGGTTGTGTACAACCAAATACTCTAGCTTTTGGTGTCTAATATGCCTCTTACTGTAGGATGGGTATTTGTTCAGTGGTAGCTTTCTAAATGATAAGCATCTTATTGTGTGGATAGTGATACAGTCAACAATTCTGTTGTCAGTGATGTTTTTGAAAAGATCGTCAGTGAAACAAGAATTTGTAGGTGTATTTATGCCATCTCTGTTCCTTAATATTCTGCTTTGTGAAATGGGCTGGTTAATTGAAGCACAGAGAAGTTCTCTGAAGATGATCCCACATCTAGTTGCTGTGTGGATCCTTCTAGCCAGGAATGAATGTCACTGCTGGATTTTATTATATTGTCGAGTAGGCAAGTGATAGGGATCAGAATTACTACAGAAATAGGGAGCTGTGTCTAGTGCCAAAATGCACTCCTGTATTGCTGGGATCCACAGCATTGTCATTCTAATAGATGTGGAAATACAAGGTTTCTTCAGCATAAGGCAAACTGCAGTTAAGAATGCCAGGCAAATTTACCACCACCATCTTTTTGAGACACAGAATGTATTTTTGAAACAATTTACAATGCAATTGGACTGCTATATCATAAAACTATGAAGTCTTCAGCAGGTAGCCTTTGTCCATTTTTTAATGGTTTTGATTGTGGATTAAGAAAATTTTTTGTCTTTTGCTACAATAACGAGGACATTATTACACTTCAACTTCAGTATGTACTATAATTATTGTTTTTACAACTTATTACAATTTAGCTTCAGTAAGTATTATGATTATAAGACAGTTGTACTTTCTAAGATAAGTTTTGAATTCAAAAGAATTCTATAAAAGTATTTCAAGTAGGGAAAAAAAATCCTAATAATTATGTATACAGCCCAATTAGGACTGCTGTTGAAGGAATGGAGAAGGAAACACTGTGTCATGTCATTGCAGTGGGGTGTAGTTGAAGCTTCTTTCCACAATGATTTTTAGCTACTTTTAGAAATAAAATTATTTGGGGTTTGCAGAATAGCCTTTGGGCACAAAAGAATTCAAATTCTCTTTTATACTATATGTAACAACTGATTTTCTTTTACTGCTGTATCTTATACCTCTGTGAATATATTCAATTACTCTTGAAAAACCTTTTTTTTTTTTTTTTTTTAAAACTACTCCTCAGAGGAATTAAGATGCGAAACATAATATGTTTGGTAGTAGGTATATATTCTCTCTTTCCCAAATGTATATTATAAATACTTTTGGAGAATAATTAATAAAGCTATTTTGCTGTTTTGACTTGATTGGTAATAATCTTCTTCCTCCCCTGTCTCTCCGTTCCTAGGCCCCTCCGGGGTTAGTACGGAAAGGTTCTCTGCCACTTAGTGACACAGTTTCCATGAACTCGTCTCTACGGAGGATGAAGCGCAAAGCACCCTCACCACCCTCTAGAGCACCAGAAGATCAAAGTGAAAGCAGTAATGAGACTGGTAGTCTTTTTATGCTGTTTAATTAGGAGGCAACAGAAAGTATGGCAATTTGGCTAAACATTAAAGAAATATCACCTTTTGAGATAAGAACTTCCAGTAAAAATATGAGTGCCAAACATCTGTAGATTATAAGGAGCGGTAATACTACTTTATGAGATTGTGCCAGCTCGCACACTGCATGAGCCAGGCAGGATGCAGGAACAACCACAAACCGTGGATGAAATGCAAAGAGTAAATTATTTTCTTTACCTTCTGAAGTGGGGGATCCCTGAATCAGCACCCGCGCAGGGGCACACAGGCGGGGATGCAGGCACTGCGGAGCTCGGTCCATGCTAAAGGATCACCAAATCTGCTGTCTTCACCTGTGTTTCAGGATTCACACAGGCGTAGTTTACCGCTGTGCTTTGATCTTTCCCACAGCAGGGCAGGCATCTCAAGCATGTTCGATAGGGTGCCTCGAAGTCTATCACAGGCCTATGTTATCTAAACACAGATGTTCGACTTGTCAAACACACAAGACTAAACAAGTATTAGTATGATATATGTGTTTTTCTACACCCCAGCTGCAAGTCACTTGAACATATTTATGATCCTCCTCACCAATCTTCTGTTATTTTCCCACAAGTGTGAGGAATTAGGCAGGTTTTAGGGTATGCAGATCAGAAAAAAGCAGAAAATACCAAATAGTTACAGTTCGCTTAACTATAGCAATTGTGTTTGTGTTAATCAGATGGACAGCTTGGGGTGGGGAGAAAAGATTAGCTTCTCTGGATCAGAGAGGGTTTAATAGGACATGGACTTTCGAGAAGAAGAATTTTAGAGGAAGTTCTGTATAGTTTTTTTGCAATTCTTCTATTTGATCAAAAATTCAATTCTCTGGTTCAAAAATACCTAAGAGTTGAGATAAAATATCTGGGAAATGTGACAATGAACACCAGTTGCTTAAGAGAAAGTGCATTTCTTGAAGAACTCACCTGTCTGTAAGATCACAGTTTAACATTTTATCTAGAACTTTTGTTGGTGCAGAAATTGAGAGGCAATAAAAAAAAACTTGTTACTTGACTTTTTGCAGTAACAGAGTCAACAGAATCAGCCCCTATTAAAGTGGAAGAAGGAGCCACCAAAATGCAGTCTGAAACAGGTTGGTTTTTTTCCAAATGCATTGATAGAATCTACTTCGTAGCAGGCTATGTTAATTCATAGTAATAAATTACTATACTATAGATGTGTTGTAAGTACAGAACTAATTGTAGCGCTTCAGATCAATTAACTTTTCCTTTGAAGTACAAATACGGCTTTCTAAAATAAAGATGTTTTGCCTTTACTGTCTACAGAAACATGATATATTTTGTATCGGTCTCTGTGCTTTACATTTAATAATCTAAACATTATCCCTGTTTTCCCTCCTCCCCCACAAGTTGTAGCCAAGAACAAGCCAGAACTTCTGTGATTTTTGTATACCTCATAACAAGCCTTTCAAAAGCTAAAGCCCAGTCTTATTTTCAGAACCCTGCCTTGTGCTGCCCTTGACCTGCAAAACCTAGGGGTAGGAGGAAATCTGTGCCTGCCTTTTGGTTTGCATCTGAACAGCCTTTGAAAACATAAGTTGTAAATATAAACTGTATGCATAAATAGCTGTTTATAGATTAAACTAAATCATTTGTTGGATGTTACAGAAAAAATGTGATATATAAAAGTATAGCTGTTTGTTTAAAATACTTAGCTACTGAACATAATACTTTCTTAATTTGTGCAGTTTGTACTGTTAAGTACTGTTGCTTGTAAGTATCAGACTGTAGGGTTCAGATACAAGATAAAGCATCTAGGAGTCTTCTAAAATTTGTAAAAGCTTTTAGAATAATCAGTGCCAGTGCAGTCTGGAAAAATCATTCTTCAATGTATTTCACCAAGAATGAAATATATAAACACTAAGCATGTGGAATGCCACTGCCATTATATGAGGTTAGACACTCAGTTTCTGTACTAGTTGACAGGAACTCTTAAGTAGTTTTCCAACTGTTTCATTTGGGATGCCAATCAAATTGGTTGAAGTGGTAAAACACAAATGTACTACAACAAGAGTTGAAACAGTCACCTGCCATCCTAGGTCTCTGGCAAAGGGGGGGAAAAAGGTTCAGTAATCAGTAAATTTGGGCTTGGTTTGCATTTAGGGCAATTTATGTAAATTGTCACAAAAAAGACCTTTAATAAAAATAATACGTAACTTAATAAATGGAAAGTATGATGTAATGAAGCTGTAACCTTTCCTTTTCCTAGTTGTTGTGGCAGATGAAGGAGGGTAGTCATTTCTAAGAGAGTGGCTCTTAATGATGGTTATTAGTCCTTAATTTTCTGTGTTGAAAACTGTGTTTATCCAGATGTGATGGGTCTAAGATGATGAGCAAAATTATCATGCTATGATTTAAAATCAAGTTTTTTGGTTTTCCTGAGCTTGTTTCTATCTTAAGATTATAGAAACATGCTAGAATTTCTGAATTTCTCATCACTATGATGTCCGAGTGCTGCATAGGTAAACAGCCCTGAATTTCATAGAAATGGCTTGTTTGCTTTTCCATAGATTTAGGAACCTCTACTTGAGGCATTTGAGATTTGTAATTAAATATTTTAATTTAAACTGTAATGGAAAGAAATAGAAAAACGTAATCATCTTCACTGGGCTTAGAACAGTCTGTGTTGAGCCCTGGGATTTACCTCTGCAGTTGCTGACAGTCTTCATTCTCCAGTTCTACTGCTCCCTTCATGCAATGTCCTTTGCTGAAGACTTAATGCAATGCATTTTTTTTAAAATGTAGAGACAAGTCACATAGCACAGCTTCATTGCCTTTTTTTCTTCTTTTTCCTCACGGGATACTGCTGCTCTCTGGTGGCATCTCTGAAACTGTCCTGAGGTCTATGTATAAACGGTCCTTTTAGCAAAGCCCATCATGCTGTGAGAACCAATATTCACCTGCAGCAAAATCAATTGCAGTACACTTGTCCTATTCCTAGTCTGAAAATTATGCACATTTGGGTATTGTTTTAAATGGATAAAATAGTTCAGTATCTCTTTAATTGCTAAGTTGGACATAATTTTAACTTCACATAAACTCGGTTATTCCTTCTGTTTGGATTAATACTGCTTTGATTGTCAGGCTTTTGGAAGCATTGTGAGCTTTTGCTGAGCTGTGACTGGCATTCCCAAAGTAGTTGTGTTATGCATTGCTACTTTGGCAAATAAGCAAAAAAAGTTAAGCTGCAAATATAGCGTTACCTTCTGCCCTATAATGAACCATTACAATGGTTCAATTTGGTGTCTAAGTAGTGCATAGCTAATAGACGCTACACATTAAGTGGAACTATGCTATATAATTTGGAATAGGCAACATTTCTGTTGTGAAATGACGGTTTTCCTATGGTGTAAAAACAGCCTGTACCTTGACAAAAGTAGTCTGAAGGCATACGTCTACTAGAATCAACATTGACAGAGAATTAATGTGAACATTTGGGATTATAAACAACTCTTTTTCTCAGTTATGATTTTTGTTCTCCTGCCCAAAGTTTAATTAATACTTATTCTTTTTTCTATGCAAGAGGGTGAAACGGTGTTTAGAAAAAAATTTTTTAAAATAATTTCCCATCAAATAAATCCCTTGATATCATCTTCTTGGTTAAGGTATCTCTTAAGAATCTTATTAAGGACTATAGAATCAAGAGCAGAAATGCTGGCAGATTTGCATGATGTAGTCAGGCTTTCCAGCTTTGGTGCTTACAAGCATTACAGCTCACAGAGCAGTGTCAGCCTGTTCTCTGCTGTGCAGAGGGTATCCTTACTGACTCAAAGGAGACTTGCAGTTGGTACATCAGTCATCTTATCAGGAATGTCTTCACAATGTCATCCTCCAGGCTTTAACAATGTTCTTTTAGGGCTAATTAAAACTCAGTGGCTAATGTTCATAGGGAATAAATTATACACAGACAAAAATGCAATGTATATTATATATGGACTTACATATAGAGTATATAAGCAATAAGGCAACCCTATGTAGCCCGTATTGCCATAAGTATTTCCTAGTGATATGTTGCATATCAAAACTAAACTGAGGATTTGGAAACATGTTGTAAAACCTGAACTGTTCCTCTGGGGAGTTAACTGCATGATATAAGTGAAGGATGGCTGTTAAATGTTGTTTATGTATCAAATGCATTCAGACTTTATTCTGCTGTAGCATTGGTGGCCCAGGTCTGGAATGAAATCCAGTAACAGATGAAAAAACACTAGTTGAAATTAACCCCAAACAAGGCTGATATTATGCTGACAAATGAAGTAGAGCACTTTGGAGAAAGCGTGAGGGTTGTTTTTGTTTGGTATTATACATTTGTAGGTCAAGTTAGTCCACTCCAAAGCCTGGAAATGTTCCTAGCACAGCAAAGGAGAGACTTTCGTATAGCAGGAGTGTCAGGAAGGTCTCCTATTGACCTAAGCTAAGTTTCCATCCCATCAGGATAGATACAACTCAGCCTTTGTTATACTTTTCTCTGGAGGAAAAGCGACCGAGATGACAGCAGTGCCTGGGCACAAAGCCATAGCAACTCCAGAATGCTTCCATTTGTCTTGTCAGAAGTCCTAGCTGTGCTTTGTTGTATAATTCGGGTTTCCACAGAGTGTTTAGACTGAAGGTCTTTGTTCCTATGGCTGGTGATGGCTCAGGCCCATGGCATAATTGTTCTCATTGGTGAGGAGACGGTGTTCTTGAGAGCTGGTTATGGGCTGTGGAATAGTCTCAGCAGGTTTGATGTTTGCCCACATTCTGTTATGCTTGCTTTGTGCCTTGTGACGTACATTTATCTTTGCACACATAAAACCTTACTGCTGTCACCTAAAGTATGAGGCTGCTGGCATGACTTTTCCATAGATGGTGATGAAAGTGTTTGGCGATCTGAATCTCTCAATCCCTCATCCGGTACAGGAGGGGAAAGGAAGAGAAGGCCCTCAGTAACAGTAAATTCTTAAGGAGTCCCTTTAATACCAGCGTGTCATATGTGTATGTTCCTGTGCTTAAATCACATGGAAGGAGCTCACCTGCACCACTTTGCAGTCTTGCCCTTCTTTCCCTGGGGATTTAATCACCTCTGCATTCAGCACTATGACACATGTTGATCACATTGCTTAATGTGTAACTACAAAGCATTATTACAAGAGTACAATACAAAAAACTAGAATTAAATAGTAAAATGTTTGACTTTGGTAGTTGCTCTGTAACTGTGAATGAGTAACTTTGATATTACTGTCACGGTCCACTTGGTGGACTCATGATGGTTCGTTAAACTCCGGTCTTGAAGTGCAAAAAACAAAGGCGAAAATGCCAAAGCGATTTGTTTCAATCAATCAGTGTAACTTTATTGTGTTGCCCATAAAGCGGCGTGCAATAGGTAAAAAGAGTGAAGGGGGAAAGAAAAGGTAAGGTAAAAGGAGAGAGGGAGAAAATTATCGCTACCACCACGGGTCCAAGGCGTCCCTGTGGTCCCAGGTCCGGCGGCGTCCCTTCAGTCCTTCCGATCGTCGTGATCTCCGGTGGGGAAAGCTTCCAGACTTTGGTTGTTAAGGAGCATCTTTTATGCTGAGCAACACACCTTGCCCCCTCCTCTGTCCCATGGACCACTGCCAACCTCTGCCTTCCCTCCGCCTCCCCGCATCCTCTAGGAGGAGTGTCTTAGGCATGGTTTGCCTTGGAGGCGGGGAGCCTTTGGCTAGGAGGTGTGTTTTTCATATTATAATGAGGATTACAGTATCTCTGGTGGTCGTTTACTTCCTCCGGTGGTCTTTTTCATAGTCTTCATCACTGTCCTTTTGCTGAACTCTTCCAGTTGGCAGTTTCTTGGGCATGCGTAGAAAATAAAGGCTTACATAGATACTTTGTTATCAGAACCTCACAGTGAATCATTCTGTACATCTATTAGTTCTTATCTACGTTTTGTCCTTCACAACTTGCTTTAGCATTCTTTCTCTATCTGCCAGGTCTTTTGGTATCTATTTCACTAATTATTTAGAAATCATGAAGTGAATGCTTTTGCAACTCCTTCTCAATCCCCCCTTTTCGGGTGTTGGCATATCATCTCCAAGTTTCTGTTGACGATGTTGAGACATTACTGTTCTTTTCGGGCCAACTTTGGACCGACTCTCACAATTACTGAACTTTTAACTAATGACCCTATTGGAAAAACAAAGTTTCTGTTCTGTACTGAGACCTTCTCCAATAGATGCAGTCCTCTGTTAGGTTTCTATAACAGCGCTGGAAGCATTGTAGGATACCAGTCTGTAGAAAAAAAGTCAATCTAAGATTTTTCATACTCTGGGACCTGCTACTTTCCAGTATTGCTATCTTTAAGCCAGTATTTTGTTTTCACTGTTAGCCTTGGTTTACACTTGAACCTTTACTGATACAACTTAGAAAAGTCTGAAACCCAACTGCAAGACCTGTACCTAGCAGCTGTTGGTGCATGCAAAGCTGACAGGAATACTCTGGTCAGGTCAGGCAAGTGCACTGCTTGCATGGCTCAGCCGTTGCCAGTAGCCTTCCATGGCGCCATATTGCACTACATAGATGGAATTAGTATCTTCTTTGTGTTACAGAATGCAAGTTGTATAGCCAAGAGGTTAATTGTATGGTCTACTTACTAATATTTGAAAAAATATGAATCATCATCTTGTTGTAGGAGATTGCTGGCAGGGAAGTAAAGCTAGAGATGGTTAGTCCCTCTGGAAAACAAAATAGATGTATTTATTAGTTTAACTTCAGGTACACTGACTTACGTGTGTCCTAATAGTAACTAAACCTTTTAGTTTAACTATGCTGTAGCTGGAAATGTCATTATTTTTATGGATTAATACTTTTCTGTGTACTTTATTTTTGTGCATTTCTACTGTAACACAGGGCGCTGCACAAGATACTTCTAGGTTTTAAATCACTTAGGAAAATTATGCAAAATTTTTGATAGTAGTGATCAAACTTCTTCAAACCATGGGCAAAACTGAGATTTGGTTAGCTCTTTAGTTCTGTAACATACCTACTCTGATATAAAGGAACCATGTATTTTAAACCTCATTGGAGAGCTGATGAAAGTATTAAGAAATTTGGGTAAAATGAAGTGTCTGCCTCCATGAAATTTGGGATTATGATATTGTTAAACATATTTTGATCTATCCTAATCCAGTACTTGTGTTAAGGAAAATGTTATACAGTAGTTACAGATGCAGAAACAGATGGACAGTAGCATGGCAATGAGCATATTCGCATATGTAAAAAGAGAGAATTGGAAAGAACCAGAAAATACTGTGAAGTTAAAACTCTGAATTAGTTGTCTGTCTGTTTTTTGTTGGTTTTGTTGTTTGTTTTTTTTTTTAAAACAAACAAACCTGATTTATAAAAAGAAGTCTCGGTTTTCCTTCTTCAGACTACTTAGACTGACTTCACCAGTCCCTTTGTATCTACACCCTGCATTGAGAGCTGTGGATTGTTTTGGGTTTTGTTTTGGGCTTGTTTTGTTTTGTTCTGTTTTTTTTCCTTTCTGTGAGTGTAGGTGTAAAGAGCTCAGAATACAACCTGGAAGAAATTGATGAAAGGGAAGAGATGAGTGTGCAACAGAGAGAGGACAGCGAAAGTACAAACCCCTCTCTTGGGATAGGAGAGGTTACTGCAGCCTTCAGCTCTGCTGAGGTACCACTGAAAACTGAAAAAAATGATCCTGCTTCATCAGCTCCAGTTCCTGGCAGTGCTTATGTAGACAACTCGCAAAGCTTCAAGGAAGAAAAACAAGAAAATATGAGCACAGATGGCAAGTAAGTACGTTTTGTGAAAAAGAAAGGAGCATTGGGGAGGGAATGGGGGAGGCAAAGAAAACGTAGAGTGCTGTTTCATTGTGGAGCACAGAACAGAGAACTGTGAGAGAGGAATGAGCTTAATACACTTAGCTTTCATTGTAGCACTCTTCTGTGCATAGTAATTCATGAAGCTTTTCAACAAAAATGACAAAGTAGTGTTCTGCTGTTATTCTGTTTAAGTCTCCAATTCCTTACTACTCAAACAGCTGGACCTCAGAAAAGCTGAACCTGGCTCTAAAATACCTGGAATATTTACTAGAGCAGTGTGCTGTGAAAAAATTTGGATTGATTAGTGAAATGAAAATTTACAAATTTATTCTTACTGTTGGGGAAAAGCAGGTAGATCAGCCATTTCTGTTCTTGGCACAGTTATCCATTGCTTGCCTATTTGTTTTGGTTTTAATTTTTCTTTTGTGTTTTCCTTATGTGTTAGCCAGTTGTCTTGACCTGTCTTGATCCATCAGCTCTCAGGAAAACAAGTTAATTCTGCCTTTTTAAACAATAAACACATTAGTTTCCTTAAACGCTCTTTTTCCCTTCTGGTGATGCTGTACCTTTGCCCTTCAGCATGTTTGTTAAACTACCTGACTCAGCAGGTTTCCAACATGAGTTAGTGCCTGCTTGAAATAAATGTTGATTGTCCAGAGAAGTCCCATTGTGTTAATGTAATTCACTATTTCTCTGTTCCCTGGGGCAACTAAACTGGCTACTGTTCCCAATTTAAATTGAATGAACTATTTCAGTTATAGTGCTGAAGCCAAAATGTGTGACTGCCCGAGTAGCCAAGAACTTTTGAGGTAGCATGGAGAGCTTTGACTTGCATTTCAAGGGTCTTTTTTGTCAGTCCAAGGCCAAATGGGGCTTTGCAAAAATCTTTGGTGCTCTGTCCTGACAAATACTGTGCCAGTTGCTTGGGTGTGTCTGCTCTATGGCCATCTACAAGGAGGAGGATCAGCTAAATGTTATTTTTAAGTGACCTTGAACTTGCAAATTATCAGACCTGTGTTATTGGGCCAGTTTGGCCAAATGTCCAGGGGATATTTCTTTTTTTCCCCTACTAACTTGTAATAGCCTTTCATGTCCTATAATCCTGGTGAGTATCATGTAGCATGTACTGTGCTCTAATTTTAGAGTTTGGCAATCCTTTCTTTCCTGAAATACCACCAGGATTCCAGAATGAGGATTTAGGGTTTTTCTGACATTGTATTTCTGGATAATACAACTTTTGATAGTTCAGATCTTTCATACGAGGTCTAGTTACTTTGAAGAAGTGTTTTTTAATCAAACCAGGGATATGTGTAATAGTCCAGTCAAAACCACTGCTTTCTGTAATGATGTTGATGTTCTGTGGCTTTGGGGTTTGTGTGTTTGGTTTTTTGTGTGTGTGTGTTTGGTTTTTTGTGTGTGTGTGTTTGGTTTTTTGTGTGTGTGTGTTTGGTTTTTTGTGTGTGTGTGTTTGGTTTTTTTTTAAACAGTTCAGCCTGTTGTGAATACTTGTAGTTCAGTCCCTCGCCTGTGTTCAAGGGAATGGAGATAAGCAAGAGTATGGAGTGCAGGACTGAGTTTTAACTTTCTTCCAACAATAATTTTGACAGCGTATGCTCCTGTTTAGTGGTTTATTGGACACTTACAGTTTATTTTGGACTGTACAAGCAACATGAGGATGGATGGTTATTGAGGAATACATCATTTTAAGTGATTCAAAGCAGATGTTTAAGCTCAAAGGACTGGTTCCTGACAGCTAATACATTTGATGTGGCAAAAGAATTGGAATCTTCATAATGCCAGTAGTATTTGTAACTACAGAAAATAAAAATATCTTAAACAGAGATGTAAGTTTGAAGTTCTAATAATTTTTGTGAAGAGAAATTTTAAGTATTTTGGCCTTTTTCATTTACCTTTTTAAGCCAAGGACTTAATATTTCCCCCAAAAAACATGAGGGCTTTATTCAGCATTTGTGTAGTTCTCTTGTCCCCCACGATCTGAGGACAGGAATTATATGCATTTGCAAAATGTTTAGTATGCAAGTAACATGCTTGATGCATGTTTCTTTGTTGTTCTCAAGGAATTTCTTGAAAGGGAAGAAAATTTTTCATTACTATTTTGAAAAGTCTGTACTGCACAGTTCATTTGCAGTCAGCATCTCATGCAGCTTTCTGGATATCATGTCAGGGACAAAATCAAGGACACATTTTAAATGTTGGGGGTGTGAGAACACTTCACACTCCGAACACTGTTCTATGAATGTTAAACCATTGTGGCTTCACTGAAACAGAGTTGTTACTGGAAAGGGGCTTGTTCAAACTGCACAAGTAAACGAAGGGAGGGGGAGAAGAGAAAGGAAAACTGATCATCTGCTTACACAGAAAAGAGTGAAGCTCTATGTCATTTTGGTAAAATATCATAGCAGCATTTCCTCTTGTTTTAAAAAAAAATAAAATAATCTGTTCTGTTGAGTACTCCAGTGTTTGGCAGAGTGATTCTATTTTGTCCATCTGTCTTTGGAGAATATTGCCAGTTCTCTTGCATCGTTTCTTCTGTTTACTGAAATGAATGATACCAGCATATTTAATGTACTGTTGTGCTTTGCAGAGGACTACAGACTAAGATAAGCAGTGAGCAAGCTGCATTTGAAAAAGACAGGAAGCTTAGAATTTTGGATCAAAATAAAACGGATGGTGAGTAGTTCCCACTCATTTTTAATACTTCAAAGCAAGGCTGAAGAGAACTTTTCTGTTCCTTTGAAAAAAATGACAATACAGTCAACTCTTGAATTGCTATCATCGGATTATTTTCTTTATGCTTTCTCTAGCTCTGGTGTATCCTCTTTGAGATGAGGTGACAAGAATTGACTGCAGTTTTGGTTTGGGGGTTTTTTATTTTTAATATTTTTTTTATTATACCAGTAGTCAAAGCTGCATCATGCTATTGTAGGGCAGTATGGGTGGAGCAGTGCTGAGGAGAGGGGGAAGGCTGGACACAGAGGTTATCCTGCGACGTGGTGTGACATGGGCGCCGCACCGCAGCGGGGAAGGAGGGGCCATCAGTTGTTCTTTGCTTATGAAATTAGCACGAGTTTTCTGCATGAAAATGCAAATATTTTTAAACACAAATAGAATAAAGTGACACACTGATTTGAAAAGAAATTACAACATCCTGTGCATCTAATGAATTTTTCTGTGGATTTAGTGACCTGACTGATTTATTTTACCCTTTTGTAACACTGATTTTCAGATTTATATATTAAGCTTTCCATAGTCTTTTATATTCAGCACACCTCTGTTTATAAATCATAACAACATACTGCATGAGTCCTGTTTATATGTGATGTAAGTTTTAACTGCCATTTTAGAACATACTTGAAATGAGGAGAGACTTTTTTTTTCCCCAAAAAATATCACGCCAAATGTTTATTCCTAAAGAATTAAATTTTTCCCAATACTGTATTTAAAACGATTTGACACAAATACTCTTGTGTTTTGGAGAGGACTATGTGTTTAGTCCGGGGGTAGAAAATTGACTTATTAGACCTGCTAAAAAGTTGAAAAAATAGAGTTGGAAAATTGCTTTTGTCCAGATGTTTTCTAATTGTTCCCTTGTACAAATACATCAGCTGTAGTTGACAAATAACATTTGTAATGTTAAAACTAAAGAACAGAAGTCAAAAATGTGTGGAACTAAAGAAAAATTGCATCTAACTTCTTATTGAGTAGTCCTTGAGCTCTCGAGGCACTGATGCCTATATAATCAACTGAAATTCACTAGCACTTTTTAAATTATGCTAGAATAGACTTTTCTATTAAGTTGATGCAAGGCACCAGTAGCCTGTTAATTAAGGAAGAATACCTGAGTTAGAATACTATTATTTGGCAATATTAGTCAAAGATAAGTATATCTGTAAATAGCGTTTAAAAGTAAGTGTTAAAGAAAATTTTAATATCGGTGAGGAGCCAGTCCTTGTAGTTAAATACATTGGATGTGGGGCTTCGTGATATAAGGAGGAAGGTTGAATCTTTTTTGCATTTGTATTAATTTTGGAATCTCTCTTTAACTTAAAGATCACAGTGATACAAAACTCCTTCCAACAACAGAAGAAGGGAAAGAACTTCAGACAGCCGAAATTAAAACAGTAGATTTTAGAGAAAATAAGCTTGAAGTTGACAGACTATCAAACTGCCAGGCATGTAAAAATGACATCTCTGTAAGTCACAGGAATTATCCTCAACTGATTCCAGAAAAGCAAGATCAGAAAACAGATCAAACCAGCTTGGACACAGTAAAAACTCAGGATGTTGCAATCCAGACAGGTCCATTGGATAACAATTTGGGAAGGACTACACAGAAAGAAATCATTGTTCCTCAGACTTGTGAATCATCCACGTTCAGAGGACTGGTCCCTCCACACAACACAGATACAAACAACCCCCTTCTTCAGGTGATGCATGGAATGCAAGAGGATGAAGATAATTTAGCAAAACAAAATCTTGAGAGACAAGAAGTTACCCATGAAAAAGTAATTCCCATTAAAGATCAGAGTCACGTTTGTATAAGTGGCAGTAATTTTGCTTCACCAGAAACAACTGAAAAAACTGCAGATGACTCTCCTGTAAAAGGTCACCCTCTTTATAGACAGGACACCAAACCTAAACCCAAGCCCGCTAATGAAATTACAAGGGATTACATACCAAAAATTGGAATGACTACTTATAAAATAGTGCCTCCAAAATCCTTAGAAATAATGAAGATTTGGGAATCGGAAATTCCATCAGATCATAAGGATCAAGAGAGATCTACTTTGGAAAATTCTCTGAAGCATGAAGACCCCAAAGAATTCATAGTGCAAGCTGAAATTCCTCACTTTCCCAAAGGTGTGGGTCATTTACAGGTTGGTTCACAAAATGAACCTGCAGCAGCAAATGATCTGGTCCACAGAGTGAATAGCATTTCTGAATGTGTTATGGCGTCTGGAGGTGAGGTTGCTACTGAGAGGAATCAGATGGAAACAGAGTCTTCCAAACAGCATGTCCCACTGAGGCTAAGTGTGGATAATACAAATTCTTCTTGTGAGACTCAGGACAAGTCAAATGCATTAAGTCCTACAATGAAGCCTAGTTCTTTTTATCTGCAGATGCAACGAAGAGCTTCAGGTCATTATGTGACATCTGCAATTGCCAGAAGTACCGTGTGTGCTCCTAATTCCATTCAAAATGAAGCTAAGAATACAGAGATGGGAAAAAAAATCTCATCACCTGATCCAACTTCTTTGTCTTTACATAAAACAAGTACTTCCTCTCCTCCAGCAGATGAAGAAAAAGTTGATGATGGAAAAAAAATTGAATCCTTCACTTCCCCTGTTAAAAGCAATAAACCTTCAAGTTTTCCCTCCTGTCCTCCAGCACCATTGAACCTAAGAACTCTAAGAACTTTTGCAGTTCCAAAGCCGTACTCCAGTTCGAGACCATCCCCTTTTGCTCTTGCTGTCTCATCTGCAGTCAAAAGGTCACAGTCTTTCAATAAGTCACGTACAATCACTAGCCAGGCACCAAGAGAGGAATTTCCCGTTGAACTTTCCTCTCCCACTTCGGCAGCTGAGTTCTCCTCAGCTACCTCCGTGCCTCAAGTGAAAAACCCTTCCTTACAGACCATAACAGGGGGGTCACAAAATAGTCTAATGGATAAGGTAAACTTTATTTCTAATACTGGTTGACTGTTGATCCACTGTCATCTCATGTGACTAGTCTAGAGAGGCTAGACTCTGAAACGCTCCCTAATTGGAA